GGGGGGTGGGGGGGGTGGGGGGGGGGGGGGGAGGGTTCGCTGAACTTTTCAATTGTCTCCCTCACTTGGCTTATCCAAAAATTTCCTAGCTTAGGTCACTATATAGATATAACGTTGAAGATGAAGTCTGACCTGAACCCAGCGCTTATTTTCGGGTATCCCCGAACCGCACATCCAGAAGAAAGCTCCCGCCAAATCCTGAGTTTTTCCAGATTTTGACAATATGTCCCCAAGCTCAACACCGCATCAACAGGAAAATCTTTGCACGTCAAGTCCAGCTCTCTCACACTGTCGCCGAACGATGAGATGTAAGCTTGAAAACACGAGCCAACTCGCTTTATTTCGCATATGCTGATCGAACTGAGTTTCTTGAACAGCTCAATATCCGTGAAAATAATGTCTTCCTCTTCCATGTACAAAAGTTTGAAATGAGTGAGTCGGGGACAAGCTCTCGCAATTTTCGCCATGTTGACATTATTGCGAAATTGATCACTGAAGTCTGACATCTCCATCATATAAGTCAAATTCAACGTCGGTATGACATTCGCGCCATCATCTATAATATAGCCGAGAGCATTCGAACATCGGTTTGAAGATGTTTCGTTCCTCTTCACAAAACTTTTTTCTGAATTACATGTTCTCGTGAGTTTAGATGAGTTCCACGCCGGGCATTACGTTGAAAGGGAGAACCAGAACTCGTGACTTACAAAAATCTGACAACATTTTGTTGGACATTTAGGCGCAGAACTTATATTCAAAATGAAATTATTACCGCGTGAGCCAACGCATAAAATTCAAATCTAGGAAATCTAAAAAGGTAGGGCAAAATAATTTATAATATTACCTACTTTGAAAAAAAAAAAAAACCGCATCTTTTTTCCGTGATAATGCACCGGCATAAATCAGCTCTATAAAACATTGGAAACGAAGCACATGCATATCAGGTTTGCAAAGTTCAAGTGCAAAAATTATCACTATCGCTAAATTTGATTATTCAGCATTTACCTTCGAAACTTCCCGCTTCAACGACCGTTTCTTGCAGCTTCAGAAACTCCGCAACAGCACGGAACCCATAATCGTAACTTAGTACGGTCAACTTTTTCAGTCTTCGTAGCAACCGGGCGACTGCAGGAATCGTGATCCGCGTGCAAAAATGAAACTTGACGATTTCCAATTCTGGGCAACCCTTTCCGTCCGGGAAATCGCCAAAAGAAGCTAGCCCTTCATCGTCGATGAACCCAGAGCAGCAGGTGAGCTCCACAAGCATTTTGCAATTAGCTGCGATGCATTGCAAAATGGGATTCGTGGCCAGGCCGTAGAGCTTAATGCTTCGAAGCTGACTTGGTTTCGGCAGGTTTCTGCAGATTACTTGCTGGTGAAAACCCAACCAGATAATTTATTCAGAAGGAGAATATTCTTTCATTCAGGAATCAGGATGAGCGATAGCCTTTCCATTGAGTTTCAAATACTAAATTCGAAAATTCAAATTCGAAAGGGAAATACTGTATATGGAAGTCTCTATCACATTCCTGAACTGCTGAACTTGATGCACACAACTACGTACAGTACTGCATCAATGCAGATAAAAAAAATCGATTTCCTAACAATGAAAGATCTCTCGTGACCATCACTGGATTCTTAAAAACGCTAGTAATTAAGTTCCTGCTAATCTTGATGCAGTAGTTCGTCTGTATATAATATTTATGAACACCATGATCAAACGAATTTTTTTCAAAATTTGGGACGTGCTTTTCTTCTTCTTCCATCGCACACACATTACACAAATACCATCCAGCATAGCAATTGAAAAGTTTGTCATATTCATAGCAGGCGTTCATTCGAAAGGGACTCGCCCATTTTAATCATCGGATATTTCAACACTGCATATACAGTATATGAGGGGTAATCAAATGGTTTACCTCTATCTCTGAGGGGATGCATTTTGACAGCCTGCGTTGATATTTAAAAACACAGTCAAAATCCAACTCCGAAGCATCGAGACGCAACAAATACGCGATCATCTCCATCACCCAGCCGTCGCATGCATCATTCCAGGTTGCCCGAGGATTCACACATAAAAAGTTTTCGATTAACGACTTGACGAGTTTCCGCTCTAAAGCATGCGGGACCACCGCTCTATCCTGTAGAGTATGTAGACGAATAATGATTAAGTTATCCTCAAACAGCACCAAAAGAACAATTGCTCTTGAACTTCTCTCACCTGCATACTCCGGGACATAACTGTAGTTTCTGGGTCCTTTCTTGAGCTAAGCCAAAAAACGATGCGTGATCTCGCCATGTCTTCTAAAGCCATCGGTTGCTTCCTTTGTGGCATTTCGTTATTTTTCTAAACGCAAAAAATTCTGCAAAACCAAACATCCAAGAATGAAAAAAGCAAGTTGAACGGGCGCAGGTGCTGTATATTACATTCGAGAATTTCATGGGCATAGAAAAAATGGAATATACACATTCTTTCAAAATCGCGAACACGCTCTCAATTCTTAATAAGTACTGTACTTCTCGAAGAATTCCATGCAGGAGTTGAATTTTGTTGAAGGTATTTTTAAATGACTCGCGCAAGTTCTATCACATGGGTTTCTCATCAATATGTTCTTTCAAGTCTTCTCACGCGCCACACGTGTGTACACAATAGTATTGAAGCACTACACTGTCTACACACTATCTGTATACAGCATGGGACACCACATGAAACAAAATTCAATTTGGCGACCCATAACCACGGGGATCCTTTTTCCGTAGGCAGAACATTTTTCAACTCCGACCTCCAGGATTCCGGAAACACGTGAATAAAGATACTCAGGAATAATCTGGAATGAATCTATTTTGAATCCCACCGAGGACTGATGAGCAAGTGAGGATGCATAATGTGGAATGCATAAAGTAGCCCTGACATTAGCTTCTGCGAATTTTCAGAAGTCAAATACTCTATTTATTTACAGTTTTCAACGGTCTCTTATTCCTACGGGCAGAGTGGATAAATTCGGGTGGTCATCGAAAAAATAATGTGCATTCGACTTCGCAATAAGAGCTTTGTTTGTCACTTGCTTAGCAGGTATAGATAATCCGAACCGTGGACGTCACTGCAAAATATCCCACTTGACATATTTACGGAATGAATTCTCGAAGCTAAAGTATATACAGGTCTACCGGCGTTGGTGTCCGATGACGAAGATTTCGTTCCTTGCTTCGCCTCTTTTCGTTTTTCTCTTCTCCATATACATCAATAGTTTTCTAAACGGCGACAAATAATGCGGGAAATACAGAATTGACAGGAGCTCTTCCAATAAAAATGCAATAAAACGGGCTAGACAACGTCGTTGGCGACCAACGAGCTGCACACAGGACAAATTTGAACGATTTGCCAACGCATCGTTGTATCGTACAGATTCCCGCGAAGAGGATATATATTACAGTACCTGGATCATTGCTTACCACTTGGAATCCTAGAATCAGAGTGTGATGCATGATTTTTTGCATTTTGTTAGCCAGCAAGAAAACGGACTTCATCACTTTATGTTTTCACCATTTCACGTTCATCACATGTCCATTGCTTCATGCGCGAGAATCTACCATCGGATGCAGCACTTATCAAACCGTTATCCGACAATGAAGACAAGTGTCGCTAATAAGATGAGCAGCGCTGTGAGCGTTTGCGTAAAATCAGGCTAATTTTTCGGCTTGTATGCTGAACATTGCAAGGCAGCATTATGGAGGACGAGTTCACGATACTGTAACCATTATTTTCCGAGCTCTTCTAACTCAGCGTGCGGACACATAGGTACCTTCATAACGTATGACAAGTGGCGAAAAGGAAGAGACGACGAGCGAGTTGGTGACTCACTTGATGCATGAGTCAGAAACTTCACTCGTTACGATCTCCCTCAAATGATTTCACTTAATTCTGAATGCTGTACTTCTGTGGAAAATTATCAATGGGAACTCCATCGTCCTCTCTTCTTGACTCCTGAAAAAGTCAATTTTTCGAATCTACGTAAAATAAGCCAAAACCACCGACGTCCAATTACTAGTGATAAAGAGCACTTGAAAGAAATGCAGAACTAAAGTTACAGGTAAATGACCATTATACATACCCCCCGCATCCTCTGGATATATATTTTGTAGTAAACCCGAACAATCGCTGCCCTACGTACAGAAAATAAAGATACATTCGTTACCGCGCTTCCTCATGCCCTATTCGGATTTCACGATTCCTGCGCGCAGGCGAAGGTGAACGCCATTTTGTGCATGTCATATTTTATCCGTTCTGAACACACGTCCGCCATAGGAAGGCACCCCAATTCATCCAGGTGAACACTACTGTGCATAAATTAATCCGATGAACATATACTGTAGTTAGCTGTATTCGATAAATATTGTGGAGTTTTTTTTATTGAGTATTGCGCTTTATATGATCCCCCAATCTATTACAAGCCCACACCCATCACCAACCGACCAACTTCTGATGATCATTCTTTTCACCTGTCAATCCCGCTCTAACGGCTCTATACAGAACTACCATCAAAACCTCTTCAGGAAATTGAAGAATATGAAGATCATCTGGAAGCATTCCTTGATGCCTAAGAATACGCTTCTATAATGCCATCAAGCTATCATATCACAAATTTACGAATATTTTTATTTCTAACTCTAAAAATACACATACTGTATTCATTGAGACTTAGGTCTTGGGAACATAATCGAAATATGAAGTTCGATTTTTCTTTTGCGGAGAAACGAATTATAAATTGCAAAATCTTTTCACATCAGCCGTTCGAAGTTCCGGGAAAAACCAACAAAATATTTCGTTGAGCTAGGTTTCTTTTTAGAGAAACCTATAAGAAGAACCTATCAGAAAAAAATCTATAGCTATATATATTTGATAAATTGAATGTTTGTGGGGGATTGCATAATCTTTGGTTCTCTGACGCGTCTCTTTTTTAATTTAAAAACAACCTTTAAAAAGGCCACCTCTTGAAAACTTGTACTTGTGGTGTACTTCAAATCACAAGGGAAGATATCAACTGGTATTCTGCATTACCTGGAAATATTTTGCGCACATTCAAGGAAGTGATCGATCACCCCTGAAAGTTCAACACTTTCCATCATTTCCAATCACATAAATTTATTTACATTTTTTTATTGACAATAAGCTCCTACTTATTCGACGATAAAATCGAAGCTGATGGTAACAAACTATAGTACCGCTTGCACGCCAAAATTGTTCATGCTACATCATTATACAGTACTGTAAATTCAATTTCAACCAATGGGTGCAACTGAATGGATAATAGAACGTCTCCTATAAAAATAAGAATCCGTTCCGAAGTCCACGTCGGCTATTTGACATTAATTACTCGATATGAACCATCATCGCTGAAATCGTGTCGAAGAATAATGCCAGATTCACGGGTCCAAAGCACTATAGTAAGAATAACATCAATCTCATCAATAGCATTTGCACACCGGGATCTTAATCACTCACATGCATTAGTCCAGAGCTATTCTTTTTACAGCAAATTATAAAACAATATTATAACTATATATGTCCCTATATAGAAATACGTTAGGAAACAATAAGGCCATACAGCAATCGGGTACTGCTGGGATTCATTTTATACATCCCATATCATCAATCAAGCGCAATATTCCAAAAGTCAACATCATCGCCCGCCAAGTGATCGAGAAATGATATGCTGTCCAATATAGACAAGCAATTTACCCCTTCATAGGGTGAGAAGTAATTTTCGAAAGCCTTTCGTAAGCATGTCTTATCCTCTGGAAATATCATACAGGCTTATTATGGCTGTTCATATTGAAGCCAAGTTCGCGACGTTCAACACAGGATGAGCTGCGGAATTCCGGGCGAAATCCGGCTGTCTTATGAGCGGATTAAAATTTCCACAAAGTTTTCTATCCCTATATACCTTGAACGATTAACCTACTGATATCTCGATCTTCGGGTTATCCTTATTTTAATCCTATATCCTTGAAAAATCATATAATTTTTAATTCTTTTGGAAAAATGCCGAAAATTTACCAAAGCGATCACTCAAAAGTAAAAAAAAAAAAAAAATACTCATTATGAACAAGTTATTTATGCTTCAGGGGTATTTTTGAAACCTTTGGGTTTGCCAATGAAACCAGAAGCTTTTGATAAATACAGAAGCGACACACGTTTCATAGATTCCTCATCTCGTCCATGAAGATAATTCTCTTCAAATCGAAAGACTCAAAAGCTTAACTCAAATTTGAAAGAGAAACATATGAAAACGAATAATGATGACCTCATCTTTTCTTCGAAAAAAGATACAACATCGCAGATATCAGCTAGCCCAATCCACGGTCTCCTGACATTAATCTCATGTGGCACTGGATTTTCAGTCACAAATTCCTACTCTTATCATTAAGATATATAAACGAAGCTTCGTACAAACTTTTTATATTCTCGTATATCTAGTATTTTGAGGCAATTTATTCGTTAAATCGTTAGAGAACGAGCTGGAATATTTCCTCAATTTTTTTTAAGGAGAGCGGTTGAAAAAATTCAATCAATGAATAAATGCGGTTCCCTATAGCTGAACCAACAGAAGTTTAATTATGAAACAACAGTACATGTATATATAGACACAGCATCGACGAGTCCCACGATTATCTCCCGAGTCCAGCCCCCTATAACACAGTAAAGTACAGGACACGAGTACAATATGGTCGTCGTCGTTAGCGACATCTTCATATTCTCATCCATTACGTAAAATATCTGATGTTTACAAAGTGCTATAGATGTCACTAAACGAGCTATACAATATAGATCATTTCGGAGTTCATGCCTTTTCTGAAAACCGCTAGGTTAAAAAAAAAATTCGGAGGTCAATAATAATTTTTTGAAGCCTTTTCTTCGTATTAATAGTGAAATTGCTAGTAGAGGGCTGAAAAAAGTACCAAATACTGTACCAGCAGTTGCGATGGATTTATTATGAACAGAATCAGTTCATACCGTGTCTCAATACGCAGGAAAGTAAAGTACTTTTGTTGGAAAGATAATTTTTATATGCCGTCAAAATGAGAGTTTCTTTCAAGGACTCACAAAATGTATGCTTTTGGAACTCCAAACATGAAATCTATCATTCAAATCCTAAGTTAATACAAGCATTTCATCCATGCAAATAAGCTGAGTAACTTTGCTGAACTTTGAATGTCTGCATGCATAATAATATATAGCGTGTTCAATTGTCAACAAAATGCAAAGATGTCTGCATGTCTGTTATTCCGCTTAACATAAATTATTTCTTTATTTAGGATGTATGACAGCGCTGCCCAGCAATAACATGGCAGCTGTATGTTTATTGATGTGCTCCGTATACAAGGCCTGCCATTCAAATGCAAGAACAAGGCAGTTATTTACAATGTATATACAGTAGTATTGCATTTTTAAAATTTCTTCATACATTTCAACCACAAAATCCAAAAAAGGGATTTATTTCCAGCTTGTTTAAAACCTGTGTGAGTCGATGGATACAGTGCAGTACTGTATATATGATTTAGTAAAACTTGAGTTTCTGAGAAATTTTATACTTCAGAGTTCCACAACCTTTTTGGACCCAGCGCAGGCGAGAAAATGTCCATAAAATGTTTTGCGGACCGAAACAAAACCTTCTGCAGATTGGCAAAGTTTGCGATAATTTCAGATGCTATTGCGTTCCCGACATTCCAGAGTTGAAGATAACAGACTTCATCACTCCTTTTGATAGATGTATCCTGCTGAAGAACATTTCCCGCGGACCGTTCCAAAAAATTTCGCCGGTCCACGAACCACGGTTCGGAGAACACTGCTGTGCATCACACACACGCGTGCTGCTGATAGTATGGAAAGCATCGAAATTCTCGGAAAAGAAAAAGAAAAAACGGATCCGTAATCAGGCCTCATTATATCTGTGGAGTTTCCGCCCCAGTTCTTTTCTCGAGCATTTCGAGGGATGCTTTTTGTGCCATGACGTCTTATTATAACCGACATAGAGTATATTTTTTGGGGGGATGTGCTGTTGCTGCTGCTGGTATCTGATACCAGAGGACGCTTCCGTCTGTGACGCGAGATATACTGTACTACACTTTCTTGTTATTATTATATTATTCCCTTGTCAGACGCGTCCAGCAGCAGCAGCAGCAGCGTGATCTCGTTTAACTCCCTTTTGCTGGCAAAGTGTTATCGCCTTCGCTTATCAGGAAGACTGCGGACTCTTTCTCTGGAAGCTATATTTAATAACTTGTGTCACTCTGCGCCGAGTGCACTTCGCGACAGTGTCCTGAACCGGGCCCTGCTGGGAAGTCTGGTGCAAAAGAAAAAATTAGAATGTGTGCGAAATCTTGTTCAATCTTTTTGTACAGCAGTTGAGCGTTTATATGTAACTCTAACCTCTGCAAGGCAAGTGGAATAGAGTGAGAGCCGGAGATGTGGACGTAATTGGTGCATTGAGAGTGTCCCAATTTCGGAATGTCCCTCAGTCAAGTCTATTGTTTTCCCTTAGACTTAGATTATGTAATTTTTAATTTGTGTTTTATGGCAGATCAGAATT